AACCCTATTTCGCCAAAGGCCGTTTCTCAGAACTGTTGTTGCAAACATTTTGTTCCAGCAACAAACAGCTAATGTGATAACGCTTTAAGGAGGATGAGGCAAAACTGTTGTTTTCATTTTTGCAAGAAAGTCATTGACGAGTAGGGATCAGTGAGCAGAAGCATTGTCAACAACACCCATGACTGCTCAGCCCATATTTTTGGTCTTTTCTTCTGTATTGACTCGCACACACCACGCAGGATTTCAACATAGAGTTCTTTGTTCACAGTGTGTCCTTCAGGAATAAATTCCAGATGCACAATGCCCTGGATATCAAAGAATACCTCTAGCATGACCTTTCCTTTAGAGCGATCTTGGTGGAATTTCTGCTTCCGTGGAGATTTTGGTGATTTCCATGTTGCTGATGCTCTCTTGGTTTGTGGATCGTACAAAAAAGACCATTTCCCGTCTCCAGTAACAATTCTGCCAAGTAGGAAAGGATCTTTGTCAATAGTCGAGATTAAGTCTTCTGCCATTTCCATTTGAATTCCCTTTTGTTTTATGTTTAACATGCGGGTAACGATGTGTTGACACACCATATGCATGTTTAGATCCTTAGTCAGTATCCGCTGACATGTAGCCTCTGATATGCTGACTGATTCTGCTGTTTGGAAAATTGTTTGCTGCCTGTTCACACATACTGCCACAGACACCTTTCTGGCATTTTCATCTGTGCGCGAAGCCACGGGATGGCCACAGCATTCGCCGTCTTCAGCACTTTCTCTGCCTTCTCTTAAACGACAATGCCACTCAAAAGCTTGCATTCTCGATAACGTTTCACTTCCGTGCACATGCTTCAAAATTTAAAAGTCTCTGTAGCACTCTTTCCCAAGCAAACACAAAATTTTATTTTGATTCTCTGCTTAACTGATGCCATTTCTTTCTATGGCCAGTTACTAAATGCACCTGCATACGAAAAATGCTGTTGCTGCGAGCTTTCGACTACATGATTATTGGCAAACCACTTTTAGAAAAGGGGAAGAATGTAGTAATACAAAAACGTTCTCAAGTCGCACTGCTGCAAAAAAATTTTATGTTATAGACTCAGTCCGGGAACTTTTGAGTCCTACGATGTATATAAAATTTATAGATTACTTATATAATAATATTGTATAAGTAATCTGTTAAAAGATACATTAGTATATAGTATACATTACTCTGCATAATTATGTTCATATTTTAAACATGCAAATTATTGCACACATATCTGTCTAGCTGTCTGTGAAAATATATGTTTAAAAATATGTAAATAAAAATACTAACTTCAGTTCGCCCCTTAACTTTCTATATTAATTTGATCCCTTTCTATCTAAATATTAATGATAATCATTAATTAATACAGTCAAAAGTCGTTAATTCGGACACCCATAATCCGGACCTCAAAGCTACAAACTTTCTGCGCATGCGTCAACAGGCATTCACGCATGCACGTAAGACCTTTACGGCTGCGCGTATGTGTGTGTGCATGCGCATAATACGTTTACGCATGTGCGTTTAATGTATAATGGACGGTATCCTTATCTTCAGGGCAGATGTTTTTATTTTATTTGGCTTATAATTCCTTACTAAATGTAATATTTCATCTCGATGTACTCCGTCTTTGATATGATTTAAATCAAATTCCTCGTCATTATGATTTGCTTCTGATAGTGAAGAAAGTGACAGAGGTTATTGAAAACGAAACAATTTCGATTGACAAATTAGTCGGTATTCTCGACACAGCAATTATGGGACTTGAACAGGGGAACTTTGTAACTGAACAAGAAATTATGTCTGTTTATAGAATTAAAGAGAAAGTATTATCACATAAATCGAAGCAACTTAAACAACTTACATTGAAAGAAATGTTTAATAAAGTAAACAAATAAATATTAAGCTTTTTTTTTTTATACCCTTTAGATCATAATTGTTCTTTATTTCATAAATTACTGTTTCATATTTTTAATTTTATAATTTCTGCATGCCATCTTACCAGATTTAAATGATGATCTATAATCCGGAATCACTGAAGTCCCAACGAGTCCGGATTATCGACTTTTGACTCTACTAATAATTCATTATGTTTTCATATTTCTAATCTCTCTTGCTCTCTCTATATGTGTCTTTATGTATTATAAAATTAGAACTTAATCCACAAAGACATGAAAAATATTTTAAAATCCCCAATAAAGAAGTAAAAAATTAACCAATAGTATTAAACCAGAATAAAAAAAATTTTTTGTATTATATGTATCTATAGATATATAAATAAAGAGTGAGTTCGAAAGGAATATAAATCTTGATTATCCTGTCTGATATATATGTTACCGGCAAAGTATGAAATGCCAGCATTCTGTATAATGCCTAGGCATAATATGTAATACCAGATGATTTTAGGCACAGTATGAAATAAGAGAATTATTGCATACTTTACATAGGCATTGTATATTATACCTAGGCATTCTTTAGAATGACAAAGGCTCATTAGGCAAAGTATGAAAAAAAGGTTATAAGGCTATTACGGTCAAAAGTCGTTAATATGGATGCCCATAATCCAGAATGATCTGTAATCTGGACCTCAAAGCTACAAACTTTCTGCGCATATGCGTTTATGCATGCACGTTTAATGTATAAGGGACAGTATAAGCTAAGCTAAAATTATCTATTTCAGTTAATGTTGCAGATTGCGTAGTTCCTTAATCTTCTAATTGGATCCGGTTTATTATTTTTCGCAGACTGTTAGAGCAATTTTATAAAAGTAAGCTTGGACTTTTGATTATGTCAAATAGAATTTCTGATGCTGGAGCTGCCAAAGAATCTACAAAGCGAAAGCATGTTTTGAGGTCCATCAAACAAAAAGTGGCATTGCTGCAAAAAATGGATAAAGGCATATCCTTTGTTTCTCTAACCATTCCGAAATCTGTTTATCAATTTCACGCTGCTCTGCGGGGGGGAGGGGAATGTCGCGGCGTGCAATAAACTGGAAGTTGATCTGTCAGCACTATCCTTATCTTCAGGGCAGATGTTTTTTATTTTATTTGGCTTATAATTCATTATTAAATGTAGTATTTCATCTCGATGTGCTCTTTCTTTGATATGATTTAAATCAAATTCATTATAAATATCACGAATACACATCAAATAGTTTTCTGGTTGCAATTTTCTAATTTCGGCTATGCGTAATGTATGCTTTACGCATGCGCGCGTTGAAAGAAGTGTTGGTTAATAAAGTAAACAAATAAATATTAAGCTTTTTTTTTTGTAAATTTTGATACCCTTTAGATCATAATTGTTCTTTATTTCATAAATTACGGTTTCATATTTTTAATTTTATAATTTCTGCATGCCATCTTACCAGTTTCAAACTGAGGATCTATAATCCGAAAAAATCAATAATCCGGAATCGCCAAAGTCTCGAGGAGTCCTGTTTAAAGACTTTTGACTGTATTTAAAAAACATTCATTCCTGTAAAATACAAATGTTATTTTGAAAAATTAATGGAAGAGTGCCATTAAAAAACTGTTCTTCGAAATATGTAAAAAAAAAAAGATTGTGATGGGTTCTTGATACAGCGTAATAAATTTGTATTTTCTATCTGGCTGAGACTGGGAATTGGTAAGATCTACCTGGTAATGGAAGTTAAATTCAGAAACAATCATAAGTTTCACATCAGTGCCCTTTTTAATACCTTTTTGTTTTTTCTGGCAGGGCTCACAAAGGTGGTTGTTACAATTCAATATCGTTACTTGTAACATTTTTGTAATTGGTTGAAAGTTCTTTCGACATTCTGTCACGTCGTTTCTGTGCATTACTCGCATGAGTTTTCATGAAATACGGAAAATAACTCGGTATCTGTGATGCAATACTGCATAGTACTGATGCTTTCTTGAACAGGATAAATGAATGTACTTTTTTTTTTCCCACAAACATTACAACCTAGTGATTCGGCAGCCAGTAGTCCTGTGGTTTCTTCTTATTAGTCATTTTGGCCTTTTTATATCATAAACTTTTGGTAAGTAGTTTCGGTTCTTTTTTTTTTTTTTTTTTTTTTTTTTTTTTTTTTTTTTTTTTTTTTTTTTTTTTTTTTTTGTTTTTTTTTTTCGAAACGAATCGAAAATATATTTTATACTTTGCTGGTTTATCATTTGGCATTCTATAGAATGCCTAGGAAATGTGTGAAATATGAATTGTTTCATACATTATCGGCTAGTTTTAGGTCTTATATACATTGCCTAGGCATTCTATAGATTGCTGGAAAAGTCCTAACCCAACCTTTATTTTTACAAAAAAAAAAAAAAAAAAAAACTCTTATTACAAATGACACACGTCACAAATGTATTATTTTCTTCCTGACATAATATAAGGTGCATCATTTATGTGCATTTTTTAAGAGCATAAGTATTTTACTTATTTGCAGGTGTAACTAAAACTAAAGATTGTAATCCATAAACAACTTCTTCAGCATGTGAAACTTAGAACCATTTACTAAACCCAAAAATGCAGGAGTATTTCCTTCGTGCTCAGCAGCTGATATGCCAAATTGCAGCTCCGCATATTGCACAGCCAAAAGCTGGATCATAATGTTTTCAGACACACCGACTCCCATATGTATAGTGGCAGCATTAGGCAAACCTTTTCTTTTTTAAAAAATGGGTAGTAAAAAAAGGGGTGGTGCAAAGAATTTCAGATATCAAAAATTGTCATTTTGTGTAAATAAATAAAATATTAAGTCAAACTAATAAAAACATTTATAAATTTCAGTAATTGGAGAAAATATGAAGAATATACTTTAAATCTGGTTGGCAAGCATGCATTAAAGAATCACGAGGATCAGCAAGCATATTGTTTGTCTGAAATAAATATATTTTATTTGTTATGCCTTTTTTTCTGATTGGCATTGCTGTTTAATACAAGTGTCATAATTATCTAGTTTGAAGTAATTTATACTGTAAACTGAAATATTTTTGATTTGACACTTTTAGATCTCTCGAGATTTCGAAGTATAATTGATGGCTTTCGAAATGGGCGCAATTCTATGTTTTCCATTAGAACCGATGATTCTTCTGCTACACAGTATTTTCAGGTATTACTTTTGGAATTCTTTTTACAAAATGTATTTAAGCAGATCCCTTTATTTAACTGTTTTATGTTTATACTCTTGGTGTCATTCTTTTTGTAGATTTCTGCAAAAAGATGGTTACAAGCTTTCTGTCCCTAAATATTGATTGTATACAAATATTTTTAATAGCTGATTTTCTTAAAAGAGAATTTTATGAAAGTACTTAACTATTGAATACTTATAAACTATTGATGAGAGAATAATAGTAAAATTATAATTTTTTTTAATGTTTCTCACTGAGCAAAAGCTCCAATTAGTAAAAATCAATAGAGTATATTTTATTAAATACAAAATTGAGGCATAACTTTTGGGATCTGTTTACGCCGAACTCGGTAACAAAGTATGCTCTCTACCACTTTTACGTAGTTATTTTTCAGATGATGCCACTAAAATACTGTTTTTAAATATGAAAATAAATAATTAAGAAAACATAAATAAAAATGATACCATTGATTAATTTAGTAAACTTTTAAATTTTCAACTCTATTAAATTATAATTCCTTCAATTTTTACAAAACAAAAGCAGTAGTGGTCCTTAAAAAGGACATTTTTTACAAGTCGTTCAGCCATTCATGTTACGAGTAGGGTTGTCAGCCATAGTTTTTTCAGAGGACACTCCATTAATCCTGTTCTGGTCCTTTTTCTAGTTCAGAAAAAAAGCCAAATTTCCCTTATTTTAAAATTAAAAATCTCTTAAATTCTCATTTCTTCAGCAGACAGCTGTTCTAAACAATTGTTCACGCTTCTAATTTATTATAATTCTATAGAAATCACACTAATTATCGAAGTATATTTATTGTTCTTGTGACATTTAATTTTTGGTATTCAGTTTAACCATTGAAAAACTATAGAGGACTATAGAGGAAAAATTTTGTTGTAGATATTCTCAGTATTTTGACCAACTTTAATTCATTTCCAACATGCCAGAAATTTGTTATTAAAATTTAAAGAAAAGCTTGATTTTGATAACCTTTTTAATAAATATTAATTTAAAAAAATTACAAAATTCAAAATTTCAAGTAGCAAATGGCACCTGATTTTAAAGTGTTGATTATAAATTTATGAATATTTAATAGTTTGATATGTGTTTTCAATTCCAGCAACATCAGCATACTGTGAAAGAATTTTTAGTGCTCAGCTAAATGGAGAAATGCACAAAATGATTTTCAACTAAATTTGTAAAAAATGAATTATTTATGCATATTAATTTGAAAGAAAGGTATCCCAAATCAGCTGAAAAAATGGAAAGTGATGCACATTTTTCTCAAGTCAAAAATAAGAAAAAATTTTAAAAATTATAAATTTTCTGTAGTTTTAAAATTTACACATATTTTTAAAGTTTTTGTACATTTTTTAATTAGTTTTTTTAATGAATTCTAATGTTTGTTCTAATAGTGCATCTTCTGTCTGTAATGAGTCAGTATGTTATTAGCTAAATTAATGAGCTAAAATTTTTTCATTTGTTTTTGAAGCTTTTAAAAATTGTTCGTTCATGTGAACATAAATTCTAAATCTCTAGTCCAGCAATTTGCAATAATTTTACAATAATAACTATATTTTGTAGTGTCTTTAATCGCAACTCGTCAAAATTGGCAACCTAGTTACCAGTGTTGCACATTATGGTTAAAAAAATGCTCATCATTTTTACTGCCAGATTACAGTGGATTTCCACTCTGCTTCTGCAAGGTAATGTGAAAGCATATGTGGTGATTTACTTCACATGTTGTGTATAGTCTGTAACTTCAAAATCTCCGAGTGCAATTCAATTGTTTAAGTATTAGTACTTCCTGCAAGAATTAAAATAAATCTTATAGAGTTTGGCTTGCTTTGGAAGCATAAACTACACTCTATAACAAAAATTCGACGCACGAAGAAGGAATCATCCGATTGTGTTGAAATTTCGTATGCATAAATGTTTTGACCAAATATGTAAATGATTGAAATTTGAGGTCCAATGAATGAATAGTGCGATCTCCAGTGCATCACAACTGCGAATCCAGCAGATGTATATAAGGAACTGTTCTTGAACTGTGGTTAAAAATTTCTGTTGCATTCCGATTTAGAATTCCTTTCAATGACTGAAAAATGCCTCACCGCAGGATTTGAGCTCATTACGAGGAACTGTCAGAGTTTGAAAGAGGTCGTATCGTTGGATTGAAAGAGTCAGATTTTGAAAATTGGAGAATCGCTTGTCATATGAGTCTAAGTGATGCAGCAATTAGAAGATGCTGGCAAGAATGGGTGGACAATGGCAGATTTCAGCGTCATGATGGTAGAGATTTACCTAGGGCCACAACAGATCAGGAGGGCAGAGCGATTGTCAGTTCAGCTGTCACAGCACTTAATTCATCACTGTCATCCATCAGACCGGTTTGACCCGCACACGAGTGTCCACCTTGACCATTCACAGACAACTGATGGAGCAAAATCTATTCTCGCACCGATTGCTCGCACACTGTCGAGCCAGATTACAGTGGTGCTTGGCTCAATTCGGTTGGAATGATGCTGACTGGGGATGTCTTTATCAGTCTTTAGCGCTAAATTCTAAGCGTGCTGATCCTCCTTTCATTATTCATGCCAACACAAGTCCTCAACCAGGAGTTATGGTCTGGGGTGCCATTTTCCTTGATAGCTGAACACCTTTGGTCGTCATTAGAGATACACTTACAGCACAGCGGTACGTCGATGACGTTCTGAGACCTGTTTTGCTACCAGTCCTTTTGCAGTACCATGACCTTGTTTTTCAGCAAGATAATGCCAGACCACATATGACACGCATTGCTATGAACTGTCTTAGAATTTGTCAAACACTTCCTTGGCCAGTCAGATCGCCAGATCTCTCTCCCATCGAGCATGTCTGGGATATGATGGGAAGGCGATTCCATCTACCAGGGAATGTTGATGACCCAGCCCGACAATTGGAGCAAATTTGGCAAGAAATACGCAGGAGACCATGCAGGAGCTTTATCAGTCTGTGCCACGCCGTGTGGCAGCTTGTATCCAGGCTAACAGTGGGTCAACATCTTATTGAACTCATTACTTTGTAACCATGTAACTCTTAAATAAATCATTCAGTTGTTCTGAAATCTTAATCATTTTCTATTCAGTACAAAATCTTCATATGTACCAATTTTTTTCTCTCATTGGACAACTTCTTTCTTGTTACGTCGATTTTTTGGTTATAAAGTGTAGTTCCAAACTCTTTAATATACAAATTTGTTGACTAGTAGTCAAAGAGTACACAATTAAATTTAAATCTAAGCTGACTCAAACCAGGGTATCAAATTTAAACGTCGGCAGAAGTAACAGAAAGTGAATAATTGCAAACATATCAGAGCTGGCAGAACTAATATAAACTGGCCACAAGGGGCAGAAACACGTGCGTTAAAATTCCAAAATCTGAACTTAAATATTCTCTAACTCGGTTTACGTTCTGTTGAGGAAATGGAAATGAGACGTTATAAATTTTAAATGCTGGTTAATTTAAATAAATAAATCTTACAATCTATATTTACATTATTAATCCTAGGCTGACTAATAATTCTTGAAAATCATCAGAAGTTCTCATAATCTTAGAGTAGTACCTAGTCATTTAAAAAGTTGTAATTATTCAAATTATATTTGCATAAATTACATTTATAAACAGTTTATGTGTATTTTTGTGTGGAAAGTTTTTTTATATAGAGTTCTGAAAGTTCTTACTTCATGCAAAAATTGGAAATATTAACTTTGATAGTTATAATTATTAGGTGTTGATCAAGAACGACACCGTGTTTTAAAAGATCATAAAAGAAATTGCCTCTAAATAAAATACTTTAATGGAAAAAATTTCCCCAATTTTTTTTTTCATATATTTTTTTGTGTTATAAAGTAATAAGAACAAAATATTCTTTTTATGAAGATGGATAAATAATTGTTTCAGTTTTATGGGTATTTGTCACAACAACAGAATATGATGCAAGATTATATTAGAACATCAACCTACCAAAGAGCTATTTTAGCAAATCTGGATGATTTTAAAGACAAAGTAAGTTAAAATTTTGAAGTGTAATTTTAATATTTTAGAACTCGGGCAGGGAAAATTTTGGATTTTATATGCCATATACAGTACAAAGTCCAAGATCTGGACATCTAATATCCGAAATGATCTAAAGTCTGGACCTCAAAGCCACCACCAACCAATTTTTTTGGGGGGAGGGGGTTATGCTTTGTGCACGCGATTTTTTTTCATCCTCATGATAAAACATGTGGAGAGTCCTGATTCATAATCTCACTTTGGCACTGAATAAAATACGTCATTCTTGAAGAAGTAATCATTTTGGCATAAATTTTTGTGATCAATAATTTGACTCCGTAGCTGCATATCTGCTTGGCATACATCTCAAATCGAAACATTCTAGATGGAAACATTGTTGATTTTACACCAGCCAATATTTTATATCCTTGACATCAACCTGGGGAATCATTATTTATTATATTTTGCTTTCATCGCCGCATTTGCAACTTGAATGATGACTTGTGCAGCGATGCCTAAACAATTTTTTTATATTATTAATTGAATAACAAAGAGTATTTACAGATTTAAATTAAATACGCTAAAGTGTTGAGAAGGAAAGATTTAACAAAAACTTTGTTCCATATGCCAAAAATAGATTTTGTTAATGATACTCATAAGCCAAAAGATTATATTTAGTGCTATTTGATTTAAAAATAATTGATTTGTTATTCACATAAAGCCAGAACTAGCATGGCCGCACGGGGCCGCAGAATTTAGGGAGGAAGAGGAGTTAACAGAAGTTTTTCATTGTGATGATAATGCCCCAATCATCAATCATTTAACGGACAGCAAAATCTAGTATGGTTCTAGATCCAGAAAATACTACTACAGATAGTGAAGAAAGTGACAGAGCAGTTATTGCAAAAGAAAAAATTTTGATTGACACGTTAGTTGGAATTCTCGACACAGCAATTACAGCACTTAAACAATAGCTTAAGTGAATAGAACTTAGCAACTGAACAAGAAATTATATGTCTATAGAATTAACAAGAAAGTGTTAGCATAAAAATCAAGTAACATTGAAAGAAATGTTTAATAAAGTAAACATATAAATATTAAGCTCCCCTTTTTTCATTATTTCATAAATCACGATTTCATATTTTTAATTTTATAATTTCTGCATGCCATCTTAGTAGATTTAAAATGATTTAATATCCGGAAAAATCTCAAATTGGGGATTGCCAAAGTCCCGATGAGTCTGGATCTTGGACTTTTTGCTGTATGTTTTCATTAATTATTCCTATGTTATAAATCTTTAATTGAGTTATATCTTTTTATTTTAAAATGAGTGCCCACTTCTGTGAATAATTTGTTGTAATAAGGTAATTTGTTTGTATTATATGTCTAATATAATATTTTGTTGTGTGTATATAACTATTTTTAATGTTTAATATGAAGGTGCTTTTTGAATAGCTTCACCTCCATCAAAAACTTGTGAATTCGATAATTCTGGATGGCATTTGTGAACATTGGGTACTTATTTTTTTGCTGAACTTATGTTCAGAAGGCAACAGCCATCTTCAAATTGGCAGTGCATTAAGAATTCCATGAAAGAGCAATCGATAAATCAAATTAGAAAGGCAAGAAACATGAGTACTTAGTGTATGCAACCACCTTGGTGTAAATTTGCAATTTTTTACATTTAAAAACTGAAGGCTGGTGGTTGTCACGATAATTTTTAAAAAGTTTCCCAAACTATTGATATTTATTGTAAATTGGCAAACATTATCAACATATTTTAGTAATTTAAAATACAAATCTTATTATTAAATAAGGATTATGGTATAAATTAATAAAATGATTAAATTCTTCTTGAAGTCTTCCTGTAATTTTATTGCTTTATTCTTCTCCCAAAGTATACATCGAAATGTTTTGCATCAGGAATTAAAGAGACTTGACTTTGCACAAACCTCTGCAACTAGTGATGAGTCGGTATTACCGAACCGGGTATTTTGTAATGGGTACTGAAAATCGGTACATCTAAGTACCCGTTACTTCAGACCCGAAATCGGTACTTTTCGGTATTCGTTACTTCTGTACCAAAACGGGTACTTTTCGGTATTCGTTACTTCTGTACCGAAACGGGAACTTTTCGGTATTCGCTACTTTGTAACGAAAATATGGGTCTCTTCTCGATATTTCGGTATTCGTTACTGGAGGATCGATGAGGGTTCAGCTCACTTCGGTTTTGGTACGAGGACAGTAGTAGCTGGTTGTATTTACGAAATGGTGATATGCGCTCCTTGTGTCCATGAATGGCCTGCTCCTCAGACACTTCCGTAGTTGACATGGTTTCTGATATTCAAAATCTTACTCCATACAGATAAAATCAAACACGCGGTGACGTGGCAGAGTTCTTTCAGTGCGCAAAATCGTTAGCTGCGTATTTCGGTACTCCAAATCGGTACTAGGGCACTTCGGTACTCCAAATCATTACTAGGCTTCAAACCGTTACTAGGGTACCCCGGTACAGCAAAACCGTTTAGGGTACTCCGGTACAGCAAACCGTAACTCCGGTATTCGTTACTTCGGTTACTCCAAATCGTTACTTGGGTACTCGGTACTTGAAATTGGTTTTCAGTACTTTTCAAAGTAACGGTTACTTGAGTAACGGGTATTTTGTACCGGGTACAAGAAAGTACCGAAGTTGCCCATCACTATCTGCAACATAGGTTATCTACCAAACTCTGAAAATTTTTGCAGTTTCTTCCATTGCTGACAAATTCCACTAACACTTATAATAAAATTAAGTTTAAGTGGGGAAAATATTACAATTAGTTATAAAAAATCTTTGGAACTTGGAATGCTACAAAAAGAACTCGTATAAAAATGGCAACATTACTTGAGAAGGATTGTTACTGGATGACTGCCTTAAGAATGGTTATGCTACATTGTTGTCATATTTTTGTACATTCTGAAAATGTAGCGACTTCTAATAAGGTGGTTGTGGTAATACATAATTAAGTACCAAATGCTACTTTTTTCGGGAAATCTTTTTTTTGGGGGGAGGGGGGTCTTCCTATGTGTACAATGATCTGTTTTCACTTTAAAGAAATCAGTGAACTGCACATACTTAGAATTCACATAACTTCGGTTCTGTGCACTGACAGAAACAAATATGGTATGCATACATGAGTTGTCACATAGCTATTTGGACAATATACTGCTTTCCCTCATGAATACTCTTTTCAGCGTTTTGTCAGAGGGTGTGGATACTCAGAAAGTACCAATATACATAAACAAATATATAATTTAAAATTTTATTTCAAATTAATATTAAAAAATTGTAAAATGCTCTTGAAATATATGAAGTCTTTTCAGATTTAATTTGGTTTTAAAGCAGAATTAATATTTATACTAATGCAAATTTATTGTAAATGTGTCCTTTAGAAAGAATTAGGATATGCTTCCATAGATTTAGACATTGTGCTTATGTTTCACATCTAAGTTTACATATTTTGTAAGTAATTTCAAACAGCTAATGAATTTTTACTTCTTGCTTTATGGAGTGGATTTTGCTGCATATTCTCTAAATAAACAGAAATTAATTGTCAATGTGTACATGTAGATTTCAAATATAAAAAAGCATTTTTACGGTTAGTAACGGGATGTTTGTAATCCCCCCAACATTTAATATTTTCTTTTTCTAAGTGTTACCCAAATTTTTAAGCATTATGGCCTTTAAGACTTCTAGGAAAAAAAAAAGTTGTTTTTTAAAAATTCTGTAAAAAAAGTTGCTGTTTGGGGGGGGGAAGTGTCAAAAGAGTAGCCTGCAAGCAGGTGGTAAGCCCAGCTGCTAATCTCTTTCCTTCTGGGGATAAGAGCTGGTAATTGTTCCCCTTGACTCATTTATTGATGAAAAATAGAAACAACTGTGAAATAATTTACTTAAAAACTGGGGGTAAAAATGGATTGGAATTGGAATCATTAACTAGAAATGGAAAATTTTTATGAATGTGAAATACATCCAGAAACTCAATTTGCCAACAGATGTTTTTGAATAACTCGGGCTGCAGAAAAATGGAGAACATGATTTTCTGAGCACCAGTTTCGGGCAACAGAATGTTTACATTCTGATCATTTCTGTTTAACTAGGCATTTCACATTGAAACCTTACATTTTAGAATGTATTTAAAAAAACAATAGTAGGTGAATATTTAGTGAAAGCATAGTTTGATTTTTTTTTTAAGAATAAAAAAAGCTACCTAATAAAATACAGTACTTTACTGGAGAAAATATTGCATTTAATTACAGTATAGAAAGAAAAATTAGGTGGAACATAATGATACAATAAATACCAATATTGGCACAAATTAGTGAAAAAGACAGTAATTATTTTTCATTCATAGCCAAAGTGGAAAGATGATGGCATTACATTATATAACAACACAGCTGCAATCAACTGTAATCATCACAAAGACTTAAATATCCATTTTTATTTCTGAATGAAAACAGTTCTTTAGAGACACTTTTTTTTTTTTTTTTGGGTTGTTGTTGATACAATGCTAGGGATGCTAAATACTCCATAATTTTATATGCACAGTTATGTTTTAGAACAATAGAAGAATGCAGCTAAGCAAAGAGATGTCATTTAGTAAGCAAGTGTAGATAGCAAAAGAGGATGTGCACAATGCAGGTAAAAAGTATTTAGCTCAGTATTTATGTTTAAAGTATTTAGTATAGCTCAGAAATTGAGTTCTTAATAGTGATTGGGTAAAAGTATCTGTGTTACAAAGAAAATAATGCAATACAGATCCTTGAAGAGGGGATGGATTTAATTAAAATTAAGAGTTGTGACTTATTTCGCTTGTCTGGTATCAGAGCAAGCCCACGAAATTCATCTTATACAAGGCTTTTAGTATTGTGTGAAAAAAAAATCTAAAGTTTTTTACTTTTTATGGCCATAAAATTCTTCATAATACATACTTGTAATATAATAATAAAATAATATATATAAATTAAATTCAAGATTTGATAAATAACTGTTACACCCAAGTTGTCTATAAATTTAAAAAAAATACTTTAGTATAATAATAAGTAATAAAAAGAATTTAGATTTAAAAAAAGCCGCATTGAGAGAATAAAAATGTCAAAATTTGGAAGCAGTTTATCACAATTAAGGTTTTGGAATCTTCATAATCATATTTGTTCAGGGAAGGCCTTTCAAAATATAAAAATTTTTAATTCATCCATTAATTAATAATCAAAACAAATTTCAAAATTTTATAACTGATTTTCATTCTATTTAACATCATTTGAAATAGTTTCACTGAAACTATGCTATTTATTATCTTTAAAGCATATCTAATTTACTTATTTTGTGCAAAACTGGAAGATGTCATAGCTTTCTAAAAATACTAATATATCCATCTTATGAGCAGATTCCCTTGAACAAACTAGTGTTCTCCTAGGGGTGGCTCTGGTGCTAAGGGGTGCTATGGCAGTTATTTGAAAAGTCCCCCATTTCTTGTTTCAAGGCAACTGACATTCTTGAACAAACTGTGTCAAAACATTTCCTTATGTATCCGTTCCATGTTAAACCTCACTCCATTATATGTACATAAAAATGAATAAATAAAAATAGTTAACAATATATGAAAAAATAAAGTATTTTTTATAAGGTGGGAACCTTCAAAGTTTCATCTTAGAAACTTGTATCTTAACATAAGTTATCTATTTTAACAGTCATTTACCATACTTTCATATTACGTATTAATTTCTCTTAATTAAATTACTCATAATCAATTTTATTGTAATTATTCAAGTTCTAAGATTACTAATGTTTTTAAATTAATTCATTATATTATTATTCACTATTAAAATTTAAATATTTTCTATATTATACTGAAAAGACAATTTTATATCCATTTTCTTTTTCAAAATTACTTCCCTTAATTTCCTATTGTACTCAAAAAAACTGTTTGTTTACCATACTGTATGCCAATTTTTCAAAAATTTCAGCATAAATTCAAAATATAATTATTTACCTTTATTATGGTTTTGATAAAAATTATAATTATTTAAAATCTCTTAAAATTGTTATTAATTTTATCAAACATAATTATGAAAAGTTAAACTCTTTGATACCATAAAATTTTGTTTTCATCAAACAGTGCTACATTAAAAAAAAAAAAAAAAAAAAAAAAAAAAAAAAAAGATAGAACAACATTACATGTTAAAATTTCAGAATGGAGCCAATTAATAAATAAATTATTTGTAGTTACAATTGTGGTTGGGAAAGCAATAGTGAAAATTTTTTTCTTGCATCCAAACTTGAAGTAGATTGACCAAGCATTGGAATGTTGGCACCCTGAATCTTTCAAAACACTCATTAAAGCATTTTATTGTAAATGAACATTGGATTAATTTAAAATGGGTGGCCCTAGGTTGCATTTTAAACACTCGCTGTACATTTCCCCCTTCCTTCTTATTGCTGTTGATTTCTACTGCACAAATCAGACACTATGCTGGATTAAATCTTAAAGAATAGCTTACTTTTCATTTTAAATATTTTAAACTTGTAACATACTTTTTAGAGGGATTCGATGTGGATGTCTAGTCGATTCCCAGCTGCTCACATAAAATGACAGAGCCGTGTAAAAGACTTGTAGGTTAGATGAGCTGGCTGAAATTTTTCCATTAGAGTTTCGAAACACAAGAAAATTGTGCTGTCGACTAAAAGAGTTACGATAATTTATTGGTATGATGAAAGAATTTAGTAAAGAAGACACCAGTTATTTTTCAATCATGGCCAGAATGGAAAGATGATGGCATTACAATGTCGATAACTATGCAACTGCAATCAACTGTAGCCATCATGAATACTAAATATCCGTTTTTATTTCTGAACAGAAGCAGTTCTTTAGAGATAGGTTTTCCTTGTTTGGCACAGCAGTACAGGTTCTAACCCCCCACGATTTTAATTACATAATTGCATTTTAGAACAGTGGAGGAATCGAGCTAAGTGAAGAGACATTGTTTAGCAAGTGCACGTATCAAAAAAGGATTAGCAAGTGCACGTATCAAAAAAGGATGTGCACAGCACAACTGAAGTATTTGTAGCTCGCAAAGTCTTTGTTTGAATTCTGGATAGAGATTGGGCAAGAGATGCAATCATTGCAGAGATGATGATGCAAAATGGTGCATTACAGATTCTTGAAGAGGGATGCACTGAATTAAAATAGAAGAATTCAAAGTGCTATTGCCAATTGAGTTAGAAATTTGTTCCAATTAAATTAAATTTAATAATAATTTTCCTTCATATTTTTATAGCTTATGCGTGTGCATACACATACATATATACATACACGCACTTACCTGGCTTGTCCTTAGCTGGCCTCTATTTTTGCAGTTGTTGATCATAGTCATATACAGAAGTGTTTTAAATGACAAAAATATTTTAAAAAATTATTTTGAGTGAATAACAAAATCTCACTTTTAACCCCTTCGTGCCGACTGTCACGTCTACGTGGCAGCAACGAACACATTCACCTCCCGGCCGACACGCAGGCGTGACAGAGCATTTTCTCGTTTACTACCGACTGTCACGTATTTGTGCCAGTGCCCTGGAACGTTTTTCAAACTATAATTTCTGCCACAAGATGGCACTGTATGTCCATATGGTTTCAGGTACATGTACATTAGACCTTCTACTCGAAATGAGAGAAGCATGACTCACATACACGTGTTTTTGATTATATAAACAAACGGGAGAACTAAATGTTTCCGAATGGCGTGATTTATTACGTCTGTTTAAATCGCACTTTATTCGCGCGTGGTAGTTGTTTATTGTAAGTAGAAGTTTTATATGCGCTAAAGCGTTGAGTATTTCGGTTTGCAGTTCAGTTTTTAGAAAATAATTAGATCTCGTTAGACGTGAATTCTTTCTGTTTTTACCGTTGCAATGTCGAAGCGTCGAAAATGTTTAACAGAGCATGAAATAGCAGAAATGATGCAAAATATTTCAAATATTGATTCTGAAATTCTGATATTTGATATTGATTCTGAAGATTAACTGAAAGACATTTTCCAAACTTTGTTCAGAAGAGACTGATAAGAAAATGAGACGACGATGCTTCGTTTATTCACATTCCCGGAAAAATCCTCCAAAACGGCAAATAAGTTATTACGAGTGCAAGGAATGTAACGTAGGACTGTGTGTAGATCCCGGTTTTCAAATTTTTCATACGAAAAGAGAATTTTAAGTACAATATTTAGTTTTCAGATGTATAATGTTAAAAATCATAAAATGGTGAGTAATTAAAATAAAATGTGTAAAATATGCATTTAAACAAGAAATAAGGTAATTAAAGTATATATATATAAATATCTATAAAGCATAAGCCGTTTAAATACTCTATAGAGCATTATTAAACAATGCATTGATACTTCGGAAATTTCATGGATTTAGGCTTAGTAGCAAAAAAGCTCCCGGCCCTGGAGAGACGCTCGCGTAAGACACTGCCGGCCTCCGCGATAAGCGCGCGTTTTCGCTACCCAGCTCGAAGGGGTTAATGCTAGCTTCCGGTTTTTTTATGTGGGAAAGTTTTATACTTGCTATAAAAAAATAAAAATGCAAGAAGTTTGTCCTCCCCATTTTGCAATTTTTTATGTCATTTTCCACTTGGCACAAAAGATCAGTTAGTTAAGCTAGAATAATTTGAGGAAATAAGTTTAAATGAAATGCAGCAAAAAATGCATTAAATTTAATAGGCTATATAAGGGAGACGTGTTATGTGCATTATATTTTATTAATTGTTTGTCAACTAGATGTTAAATTTTCTGAGAGAAGCTAATTGATACAGAAGGGCTGTTAGAATAATAACTGTTTCTTTCTTTTTTGTTTTTAAGATTGTACTCGATGTTGGTGCAGGATCTGGCATATTGTCTTTTTTTGCCGCCCAAGCCGGTGCTAGGAAAGTGTATGCTGTAGAAGCTAGTTCTATGGCAAAACATGCAGAGGTAAGTTTTATGCATGAGAAAAATGTTTTTTCCATTCTAATTTATGTTTTGTTTTTAAAGTTATTGATAAAATCTGAAACTCTGGGTTTTATTTTTCTTGTCAGCTATAAACAGGATCTTATAATGTTCCTTTTTAAAATTTCAGACTCTTGTATATCATAATAAATTATGTGGTCGAGTGATTGTCATTCCTGGAAAAATTGAAGAAATAAGCCTTCCAGAAATGGTTGATGTTATTATATCTGAACCTATGGGTTATATGCTTTTTAATGAAAGGATGCTCGAGACGTACCTCCATGCAAAGAAGTGGTTAGTCCCTAATGGTATGTATTGTAATACTTTTGAGTGGTAAAATTTGATAGTGTTTGCATATTTATATAAAACTATATCATATAGTAAGGAAGAAATCATGCATAATAAATATGAGAAGGAAAATATGTTAAAATTATTTAAAGCACTCTTTTGTTCACAGCTATTTTGATAACATTAATCGAATGATAACACTGAAGGATGAGGAAAAATATCCTTAAAAGTGGCAGTGAATTTTAACTAATTTAATGTAAAAATATCAAGAACATATAAATAGGTATTTTTACAACATTTTAATTAGGGAAGTGCAGAAGTTTAATTATGAAATGTCCATAATGTTTCAGAAAATTATTTGATTGATGCTACACTCCACTCTTAATATTCAGAATGTATCCCTCATCAGAAGAGAACTTGCCAGTGTAAAATTTTAAATTAAGCAAAACAATTTTAGTTTGTCTTAGATGTTTTTAGAGAATTTTTTCAAAGGAAAAGAAAATTCTGCAGAATTTGTTTGACTTCTGAAGAAGAAAGACATGTGCCTGTTTGCCTTCAAAATTGATAGTTACTCAAAATATATGTCAAATAAAGGTTGCTTTTTTGTCTAACTTTGAGTGGGTTTACTAAAATTGAAAACAAACTGTTTGGCAACTTAAGCAATCACTTGGAAACATTGCTTTTGTCACTTGTCAATTTTTATAATCAATTTTGACCTTATTTGGCAAATTTAGTTTAAAAAATTTATTCTGTATTAATTTGATCACATTAACTGAATTGTTGAATGATAAGCGATGTACTTTGTATGTTTTCACGTACAAAGGGGGGATATTTCTGTAAATTGATAACGTTAACCATGGTCACATTAAGTAGATATATATACAGAACAAAGTCCAAAATCCGGACTTGTCAAGACTTCGGCGATTCCAGATTAGGGGTTTTTCCGGATTATAGATCATCAATTTAAATCTGGTAAGATGACATGCAAAAATTATACAATTAAAAAATATGAAACCGTAATTTATGAAATAAAGAGCAATTATGTTCTAAAGGGTATCAAAATTTACAAAAAGCATAATATTTATTTGTTTACTTTTATTTGTTTACTTTATTAAACATTTCTTTCAATGTAAGTTGTTTAAGTTGCTTCATTTTTTGTGCTACTACTTTCTCTTTAATTCTGTAAACAGACATAATTTCTTGTTCAGTTCCACTGTTCAAGTCCTGTAATTGCTGTGTCGAGAATACCGACTAACTTGTCAATCGAAATTTTTTCATTTTCTATAACCTCTCTGTCACTTTCTTCAACTATGGGTAAACGCTTTACTGGCTTTACGCGCATGCACAGTGGATGTGTGCATTAAACGTGCATGCATAAACACTTTACGCGCATGCGTGCGTTTGTGGCTTTGAGGTCCGGATTATAGATCATTCTGGATTACGGGCTTTGTACTGTAATTTATTTGATAATTGCAATATAGGAAAGTGAAATGCACCTCTCCCCCCCAAAAAAAATGAACAGAAGACAAGGAATAGGTTGAATATTATTGAATAAGTGATTTTAGAATTAAATTGAGCGATATTATTAAATCAATAGCATCAATACATAATTGTTAAATATTTAAAAAAACTCCATCATTACATCTAGGACAGCAATCCCATGTATGAAAATGAAAGTTTGTGGAATTGGAGTATGTGATATCTGAAAACTTGTTTATATTTATAAAATCACTACTAATGAAGCATTTTTTAAATCGATTGTTTATATTTTTAATCTAATTGTTATCTTTAAGTTACTTATAATCACTTATTTGTTTATAATTATGTTGTATAACTATGTACGAGGGCTATCCAGAAAGTAGATTACGTTTTGGAATAAAAAAATAAACAAAGTATAGGAAACAAATTTTATTATATACAGATGAAAGCCACACTCAAATACTACTTTTCTACATAGTCACCATACAAATTAAGGCATTTATCGTAGCGATGTACGAGCTTGGAAATTCCTTCGTCGAAAAATTCGGCCGCCTGCACCTTCAACCACTTCGTTACCTCTTCTTGCCTTCCATCTGCCACAAAACTTGTGGTAACCAAGCTTTTCGCTGATGATTTCGTGCAACAAACTTCATGAAATTTGTGGAAAAACTCAAAGAAAGTTCCGTTATTGTGAAATTTCGATTTTCACGGACTTTAGCATCGACTTTTTCGAGAAGTTCGGCGGTCACTATGCTGGGTCTCCCACTTCGATCTTCGTCGTGAACATTGGTTCGGCCATTTTGAAATCTTATGACCCACTGACGCACTCCACCTTCAGTGATAATGTTGTCCCCATACCACTTCACGAAGCTGCCGATAGATTTCTATCGGTTTACAGTTTTTTGCAGTCAGAAACCTTATTACTGAGCGCACCTCGCGGGATTTTCAATTAACGCAGACATTTCAAACCGTCACAGTATCTGAACGGAGCACAGCACGAACCTCTCACTAGCACGGCTAGATGCAGACTGAGCTGCGCAACGCTCTGACCCCAAGATGGCCGCGCTAGCCCCGCCCCTAGCGGACACAGACGGAAACGTAATCTACTTCCTGGATGGCCCTCGTATTATAGACAAAAATTGCGAGGGTGTCTATAGAAAACCATTCTTTTAAAAAGTGTTGATGCAAAAAGAAGTTGGGAATATTCAGGATCCATACTAGTGTATAAATTATTATGAATGGTGTATCTGCTTTAGCTTAGTGGATTTATATCAAGTACTTACTGTACTAAAATTAATTAAACAATAAGCTCAAGACATGGTCATAAAAGCTCAAGTTCATGTTCGAGGAGTCACAAAAATTTAATTCAAGATTAAAAGGAATTTTCAGGTCATAGGCTCCTTATAAGTGCTTATAAGTCCTTATATTTGAAAATAAAATATAAAGGCCCTTATAGGTGCTTACTTTTTCTTTAAAGCCCTTATTTTTTTTTTTAGTGCTTATTTTTTGCTTTTAGTGCTTTTTTTTTTAATGAACGCGCTATTTTCCCCCTACCAAAGCCGAAACTAAATAAACAACTTTTCTTAATATTGAATGTCAGGTGGTGAATCATACTCCCGGAAATAGCTTTTCCCCCTTTCTCTGCATTAACATAACCTTTGGTGCGCACAAAGAGTACAGACAGGTGCCCGTCGTTATATTGGTCAAAGAATTGCGAAAGCAGTAGAAAATTTCGGTACATTCGGCATTCTTTTCCTCTCACAAAAATACTATACACGTTTAAATTTCTATCCAGATCTTAATAATTTGCATTCTCGTTCCGCTTGGTCAGTTCATATTTGTGTTTATTATGATCATTATGCTTATATTATGAGTATATGTATGAATGTTTATAATAACAGTTGCAGTAACTGCTGAAGTATAGTAAACTTCCAAAAATGGTTGTATTTTAACACAGCGTTTTAGGAATAATACTCGGAATGGCTTAAATAAAGGGAAAGTAATCGAATAGTCAAAATAATTTAATTTTTTTTGGCCAATACATTATATAGTGCGAAGATTGGGAGGTTCTCCCCTTTCTCCGCAAAATCTCAAATATTGAAACTGTTACAAGTTCGCTGCAAAACAAGCAACGGACTTTTTTTTTTTTTTTTTGTCACTTTCCAATCTGGATTGAATAGGACTAAAAGTTCTGTGGTCTACCAACCCAAGCGAAGAATGATTCTATTGCGGAAATTTAACGCCGTCTGTTGAAAATTAGAATGAAAAACACCCCAGTTACTCATATTTAGTTCTTTATTCTCCCAATTTCAGCAGCTGTTGATTCCGATTGCGTAATATCACGTAGGGAAGAATTATGGCACACGTATTGTGCAATAACGTTTGCGATATTTCGCAGAGATAATTAATTAATTAATTTTGATGTTCTGTTTGAGATTTGTTTATGAACACTTAAAAGAGTTTTACTGTGCTTGCTAAGCAGAATATTTTTCAGTTCCATTGGTTTATTTTTATATGATTCACATATCAAAATGTCAAAAGCATTTATTTAGCGGAAAAATCTAAAAAGTGGCTACAGTCAACCCCCCCCCCTCCGCTCCTCTTTTTCAAGTTACGCTCAACTGTCCGAATATTCGCCAGTTTCCAAGTATGCGGCTTAGTTAAGCTTTTACTGTTAAAGGATGACTGCATGAAGCAAATTTCTGTCTTCTGATTTCAGAAATGTTCCTCTTTTTTACTTAAATTACTTTGCTTGCAATATCTGTTAAGAGAAAACTGATATACAATGAAAATTTAGAAAATATTCAGAATTTAGATTTAAATTATTTAAATATTAATATGAGTGGAAAAATAAATTGTATTTATTATTAGGTTCCAAGCAAATACAATAAATATGCCTTATTATTATTTATTTTCTCTATTTTGAACTGAAATTTCATCATTAAATCTTGTAATATAGTTTAGTTCTGCATAGTTTTTTTTTTTTTTTTTTCTCTCATTGTAAACTAGTTCTGTAAATTGAACTGTTATTTAAAATTTAAAGGGAAAAAAAAAGTAATTATTTTCCATGGTTGAGGTAATGCTTATTCTCTCTTAATAAATACTGCATTTCTCATTTAAATATTTTAAATTACAAGTCTAATTAAGGTTATGCAGTTGTGTATAATGTCATTAGACAGGTGCTTATTTTTTTTCTTAAAATGTGCTTGAAAAGTGCTTATTTTTTTAACTAAAATGTGGCTATGAACCCTGTGTAACTCATAACGAGAACCAAGGAATAATCAGTATCATGTTTAATTGATGCAGCACGATTAACCAGGTAAATTAAATAATTAAATTTGTTAAGTTTTAAGTAGTAAAGCCCTTAATGACAAGTTTAGATTTATTTTTTTAAAACTAATCCTATTTAATTAAAAAAAATTTTTTTTTTCCTGGTCTTATGATTCTCATCATAATTATTGATACTTCAGAGTTTTTTTTTTTTTTTTTTTTTTTTTTTTTTTTAAGTTGAAAAAATTGTGGATTTGCTTTGCACTGAATA